TTCAGATGGAGATAACTTTTCGCATCTCCTGGCGCCGTAGTTCTGGTCAAGCCTATTGTGACCAGTTCACAATAGAGAATGGTCAACTGATTGGTGAAAATGGAAATATTCAATGCGAACAAGGATGTTCAGGTACAATATCTGATGTAAGGTATATATGTACCGATTTTAGTGTTGAAGAGGACTGGAGCTTTGGTGAGCGTGTGGTAACATACACATTTCTTGAAGGAGTCGATATCATTACTATAGCTTTTAGTGGTGGTGATTGGATAGCACCATTCAGCTCACTTGGAGGGTTCCTACCACCTTTTCACTCGCAAGACGAAATGACACGGGAGACATCAACTCCACTCCAAGAGCCATAATGAGTCCGGTTCTCCGTATCCAGGAAGGCTGCAACCACACTATCAGAGTTCCAGTCACTGACCCAGATAATGACATTGTGTGGTGTCGGTGGGCTGTGGGGGGTGAATGTGCTGGGATTTGCAATGGGTTTCCAGGTGCAATTCTTGTTCCCGAAACTTGCTCCTTGGTTTATGTCGCTGATCAGGGACAAGGATTCCGAGCAGCAGCACTCATGATTGAGGATTTTCAGCGAGGATCCACCATTCCTTTGAGTAGCGTGGCACTACAGTTTCTCGTTCTTGTTGTAGACACAATGAGGTCTTGCTCGGTGAATCCCACCTTTGTCCCACCTACCCCATATGATGACTCTTGCATTGCTATTCCCTCTGGCCATACACTACATCTAAGACTAGTGGCAAGCAGTGGCTATGAAGGAGACACCATATCCGAGATACAGACCGCCTCTCCAGCAGGACTGGTAAAGTCTAGTGTGTTTTCTGATGAAACAGCTGGTGTCTTCTATGTCAATATAACATGGTTACCCACGCTTGAGCAAGAGAATGATATACACCTTTTCTGTTTCACAGCCACCAACACAGGCGGACTGTCTAGCAGCCAATCGTGTATCCAACTGCTCCCCGGACATTATCCTCCCACTCCTTTAGCCGAAACAGCGTCCCCTAATATGGCAACACATGTTCATCCCTCTCAACATTCATTTCAAGTGAAATTTGATAGACAAGTGAAGCGTACTTCTTTCCCTGCTTTCATTTCCTTCCACGAGTTTAGCACTGGTAAAGTGGTGTATCGGATAAATGCCTCGTCTGAGGCAGAGATCGCATTTGAGAATGGCACAAAAATCATACTGACACCCGATTACAGGTTTGAAGAGGTGACAAAGTACTATATCAGCTTTGCTAGGGGAGTAGTGCTAGGATTGAGGCATGTAAACCTGGAAATGAACCACTTACGGATAAAAGTTTCTGGACATTCACAACTGGTGACATAACTCCACCAACAGTCACAATACTGGATGGTCCGTTTATTAGCAATGCCAATGTTTCCATATCATGGGATAGCAATGAGCCTGTAACATATGAATGCGCACTTATTAGTGGACATACATCAGTCGAAGTGAATTGCTTTGATGCATTTTGGACTGGCTTAAACCTAATTCAAGGCTCATACAGGCTTGAAATTTCAGCGACAGATCTTTTCAATAACACGGCATCAGTGGTACATGCATTCAGTATTGACACAACTCCCCCAGTTGTGGAGTTCACTTCGTACCAGGTGAGGTGTCAAACACTGGGCGTGGTTTTCTTCGATTTAGCTGTGAGGGTAGTGAGGTATGTGCTTACCAATGCACTTTCTTTGAAGGCAGTATGGGAAGCGACAAAGGTTCCTCTTCCAGCTGTTTTGGCTCCTTCAGCAGCCCTCTCTGAGTCATGGAAGGTACTACACTCTCTCAATCACGGCCACAGACCAGGCAGGTAATGTTGGAGAGCCAGTCAGCTACAATTGGGAGACTGATTTTGAATCCCCAACTGTGTTCGGAGTGGCCAACACCAGTGCCCTCTGCACTGGTGACTTGTCTCCAGCTCAGACAGGTAAGGCACTGGCCAGAGACAATAGAGACACTGCTCCAACAGTTAGCTTTGGGATAGGCGGATGCCTTGCTCTATTGCCCGTGCATGGAGAGCTGCGGATGAAGCCGGAAACATCGGAATATTGACACAATATATTTTGCTTCAGTATGTTCCAGCAGTGAATTTTTTACCGGTGGTATCACTACCTTGTGACAGCTCCACAGACTCTATAACAATACCAGGAAATACAGCCACACTACCAAACCCCTGCAGAAGGCCACTCGAGCTCAGTTATGATGATTCAAATGCTAACTACACCTGTCCAGTAACTTTCACTCGCAGGTGGACATTTACAGATGGTTGCACACAGGAATTATCCATCTTTGAGCAGGAGATATCTCTATTTGATGTGTGCCCTCTAAATGCTTGTGGTCAGCCAGAATCCCCACCTCATGGTATCTGTATACAGGGCAGCTGTTTGTGTAATAGGCCCTGGTTTGGCGAGCAATGTGGCATTCTTATTCATTCAGTTGTGGTTGAACCTATTGACGGCGTTGTCTTGCAAGAGTTGGAAGATTATACTAGGACGATCTCAGTTGTCAATGGAACACGTCCTTTTCTCTTCTCACTCCTCTCATCCCCAGACGGGGTGATATTGAACCAGAAAACACAAACAGTTTCATGGCGCAGAGTGCAGGTTGGCAACTACACATTAACAGTTGAAGTTCAGAATGAAGTAAGTGTCGAGAGAGTGTCATGGTCCCTTGTAGTGAGCCCTGGCTATACTGCAGTCCTGGATCCAGTGACTGAGAACCTTTACCCTAGAGCAACCCCTATAGAACTGACTGGTCGAGTCGAGTACTTTGAAGGAAACACAATTGAAGGTCTCCTTAGAGGGTTTGTGCCAGTCACAATAGAAATCAATGGTCTCAACGGAAGGAGAGAGTTGAAGACATTCAGTCAGAGAGACAGGACATTTTCAGGCGTTTTTTACCCAGCCCACACTGAGTATGGGTCCTACGTGGCTGGTGCCAAACACCCACGTGCACCAAGAGCCACTGACCAAACAAGTTGGGACTTCCTTGGGATGTCATTCACCCCACGAAATGTGCAATTGAGAGAAGCAACTGTCACTTCATTTGAGAAGACCTTCCACAATGTGTCATTTCTCATCAATGATGGTCCACAAGCCCTTCACAACATTTTAGTGATCAGCTCTTTAGAGAACATGGACCAGCTGACGATCACAGCAACTCTTAGCCATTCAGAATTGCAACCAGGTGAAACTACCTCAATCGACATCTATGTAAAATCTGCAAGTGCCCTTCAGGCTTCATTTTCAATTACAGTACGCTCAGTGGAAGGCACTGAAGCCTCTCTCTTTGTCAACCTTTTCATAGCACAGATCCTTCCCAAACTTGTCATCAGTCCATCTTCTATCACCACAAGAGTGGTTAGGGGAACAGCCCGCAGTTTGGACTTCAATGTCACTAATGTTGGGAGTATACCAGCTAACATGGTGAGAACAGTTTTGCCCAATGTAGCATTTATGTCGCTCGTCAATTTTGGAACTGCACAGCAGCAAAATGAACGGCAACTGACGCTGGACAGTGGTGATTCTGCCATATTGACTGTGTTGGTTACGGTCCCTCCAGAAGAACCTCTTGGGGAGATTTCTGGTAGAATAGTCATATCATCCATGGAAACCTTTGAAACTATTCGCTTTAGGATACTTGTCTCTTCAGACATGCTTATGAACTTGACAGTACTGGTAGAAGATGAGTACTCCTATTTTGCTGAGGGGCGACCATTACTTAGTGGTGCAGTTATTACACTTACAAGCAGACAGCGTGGTATTAGAGAGATGCTGACTACAGGAGAGAGTGGAATGGTAACTTTCTTGAATATCAATGAAGATAGATATCAGCTTCGGGTCACCGGCCCTAACCATGCACCGCTTGAACAGATCTTGGTGACCTCAGCAGAAGAGCCTGTTCACACAGTATTTCTACCAAGGAGGGCTGTAACGTACTCCTTCACTGTAGTCCCGACCACCTTCGATGAGACATACACAGTGACGCTAGAGGCAGACTTTGTGACACATGTTCCAATTCCAGTGGTGACCATAACACCAAGAGAGGTCTCACTGGAGCCATACGAACTGGGACTGAAAGACACAATTCAATACAACATCACAAACCACGGCCTTATCAGAGCTGATGATGTAGGTTTCCAACTCCCAACTGGACACCCTTTCCTCGAGTTTTCAACTGATATTGAAGAGTTTGGTTCTCTTGAGGCACTGACCTACATTATTGTTCCGGTGAAGGTTACACGTATTGAGGGTAGGGAAAAGAGAAATGTGGCTGCATGTATTCTCTACGCAATTGGAGTCGCATATTCCTATGTGTGTGGTGATGTCCAGCATCGTTCTGCCACAGCAATACTCAGGGGATTTGGACAGGTGTGTGGGGGAGGTGGCAACAGCGATAGCAGTGGGCGTAGGGGGAAGATATAGGTTGATTGGCCCACCCAGACGAAGTGGTGACCCAATCTCTATCAGTTCTACTTATACCCCAACGGCGATCCACTGTGACAATTGTCTTATTAGTGTCATTGGATGTCTACCCATCAAACTGCCTGGTTTTAGCTGTACCACTTCTCTTTCTCGCTAGTTTATAACTTTGGATCTAATCCAGATAGATCTCCTTTCAATCTAACTGACATTGCTGATTGGTCTAGTCTCATTGGCTGTATTCTTTCAGTGATCCCTGTAACAGCACCAATTTCAGGATTATTTTGCCTTCCTTCCCTGCTCCGTGACTGTCTTGGCGCTGACACAACAATTGGTCGCAGAAGGCGAAGTCTAGCAAACACTGTTCGTGAAACTATTCCATATTTCTACGCAATGCACGAGTTTACATTACTTGGCGTTGAAATATTAGGTGATGAAAGGTGGTTAAGACTAGTATCTGATCCACTATGGGTATCAGATGTGTTGCGCCCAGCATTAGGTGACTCCAGCAGTGGAGGAATTATAATTACTAGAGATGAGTTTAGCGCAATCACAAGCTTGCCCCCACCTCGTAATGCCACAAGGGAAATGGTGGGATCCCTGCTGGAAAGGTTTAATAACACATTCATTGGGTGGGGTAATGGAACACTTGAGCCTCAAAATGGATCCAATATGGTGTCGTACAGTGCGGTTCAAAACTTCACCAGAAATGTGCACACTGCCCATGGACTAATTGGTTTGGGGGAAGAAGAATCGTTTCTTGATTCTTACAATGATGTAATAGAGCAATACAACATGATTGCAGGGGCAGATGAGGATGAAGATGAAGGGGTTTGTGCAGTTGTCAGAATCAGAATAGAGCAAGAAATTGCATTGACCAGAGATGCTTTTCTGGCTAGACTAGAGATTGAGAACATGGAAGCAACAGAATTACGGAGAATTGAAATGACCTTCCTTATTACCGATGTTGGCTCAGGAGCAGTGTCCACTCAACTCTTTGTCATAGGGAATGAGACACTGACTGGAGCTCTGAGAGACGGAGATGGGGGATGGATCCTGGCCAGCAGTGAGTCAGGAGCTGCTGAATGGCTCATTGTCCCCCTGTCTGAGGCTGCCCCTACTGAAAACAGAAATTACGACATTGGAGGGTCATTTTCATACGTCTCAAGTGGAGAGAACATCACAATCCCACTCCTGCCCACTAGAATCACGGTAGCCCCAGACCCTTCACTCATCATCCACTACTTTTGGGAGAAGTTTGTGATTGGAGACAACCCATTCACTGACGAAAGAGAGCCCTCAGTACCATTTGCTCTGGGAGTGGCCATCCACAATGGAGGTTATGGGACAGCAATGAACCTGAGGATAACATCAGGTCAGCCAGAGATCATTGAAAATGAGAAGGGACTCTTTGTTACTTTTAAGATTATTGGAACAAGAATCGGAGGTGAAAGTGTGAGTCCCTCACTGACAGTAAACTTTGGAGACATTGAGGCGATGGAGACAAAGGTAGCCCGGTGGCTCCTCATCTCCAGCCTTCAGGGGGAGTTCACAAACTATTCTGCCAGTTTTGAGTACATGAACCCACTAGGTGATCCACGACTCTCTGTGTTGGACGAACTTGTCATCCACGATCTCATAAGAAATGTGGTCATATATCAGGAAGATGAGAACGACGGTGTCTTAGACTTTCTAGTGAACGATGCTACTGACTTGTTTGATATTCCCGACGCATTATACAGCAGCAAGACCTTCACTAGATACAATGTGAGTGAAGGAGCAATCGAATCAATCATTCCTCAAGGTTCTGGTAGTATAGAGGTCCTTGCATCCAGCAACTTCAGTGGTTGGGTCTACTTCAGGTTTGAAGATGTTGGCAGGGTGTTCACTGAAACCAAAAGAAGCATCAATTTCACAAAAGCTGTTGATGGAGAGGTGACTCGACTACCTGCAGAGAATGCATGGGTTGCTGGGGAGGCTCAGCCAAGTCCAGACGATGCAGATCCATTCTTCTTGCACATTATCGACTACCTGGATGAGGCTGGGGAAGTTGTCTACCTCTTGAACCCATGTGTATCTGATTGTGCCACAGATGAACAAGAATTTGAACCAATTGTTCCTCCTGGTAAGTTTATTGTTTTTTGCAAGCCAGGTATATAATATATAATCTGTTGTTGTTTCTTATGGCACCCTAAATGTCCTCATGAATGGGTATTCTTTCTGATTGCCTGGGCTACAGGTGCCCTGCATTAATGAGTAATTCAATGTACCTTTCTCCTTCTATACTATTAGTTCCTCCGATAAATGTGGAGGTGGAGGCAATTGGCTCAACCTGGATCATCCTCTCCTGGGAGCCTGTGGTCACATCTTCTGGTGTGTTGATCCAGCTGGTGCTGGTGAGCGGAGGAGGGACAGAGTACAATGTCACAGTCGATAGCCAGAGAGCGAAGTCCAACATTACCAACTTAGATGCTGGCGTCATGTACTCGATGAGAGTGGTAACTGTGGCAGAAGATGGACAGATGAGTTTTCCCAGTCTCCCTGCACTAACAATGACACAGATTTCATGTAAGTTTGACAGAAATACACACAATGTGATGTGGATACTTTGTTAAATCATATCTAGTCGACAGACCGCCAGAGAACCTGGTGTTGGAGAGTGCCGGAGTGTCATGGATAGTGGTGTCTTGGTCTCTCTTCCCTGGAGATGTCCTGACTTCATCCCAGGTCATCCTGGTCAGTGGTGGAGGGACTGAGAGGAACATTACTCTAGAAGGCAATGGGACATCAGTGAATGTGACGGGTCTTCAGTCAGGGACCGAGTACTCATTCAGAGTGATTGCAATAGCCAGTGACGGACAGACAAGTACACCCAGTGCCGTTCTCACTGCCAGCACAGCTGGAACTCTAGGTATTATAAGTGCATCTGAAGAAGTAGATAACTGATCTAGCTATAAGGATATATAGGAGTCAGTGCTAGGCTGCTTACTAAGTACCACACTTTATAGCTTTCTTAATTTGACATAACTATTGTTTTATATACACTGCTCTGCAGTTCCCACAGAAGCTTTTTATGATACTGTAATTGGAGATCCGCTGTTCACGGTGGCTGTACCAGAAGATCAGTTCATGTGCTATGAGATTCATGGACATGCTGGAAAGTATTTCAACCTCGTTTCGGACACATGCACCTCCGTTAGTGCTCTTTTTACTGAACTGCCATTTGATCCAAGACGCAACAGAATGAGTGAAATCGGTATTTACGCAGTGAGCACACGCAATACTTGTGCCAAGATCCATATCAGCCTTGAAAACTGTGCAGGTAATTTGAATAGTGAGACAGTCACCTCAATCTATCAACAAAATGGTATCAGTGTGAGACAATACCTCAATCGCTGGCGAGTCTCTGTCCCCAATTGTGACTCCACGCAATCTCTGATAATGTGGATCTTCTGTGACAGTGAACCAGACATGCTGCGATTCCGCATCGCCAGAGGCAACAACTTGGCTCCCACTTCCCATGGACTTCTAGGTAACACACACAAAAACACACCATTTCAAATGTGGCTACACTTGCATCGAGGCAAAAAGGAGGCATATGTTCACTCGGTATATTATCATGGGCTGCATTGTGAAGAACACTGATACACGTGCTCATTATGATTAAATAGATGGGTGCAAGAACTGTGGCATCTACAGAGCACAAACCTATTTCAACGTAATACCATGCATTCTATGCACATCTTATAGCTTTGGGACACCAATCAGAATTAGCATAATTTCTGAGTAGTCCTTTTGCAGAGGGACATTGTAAGGATTGATTGGTAAGTTAGTGGCATCCGAAAATCTCACTGAGCTGTGGCCTGTTAGAATATTATATACAAAAAGCAGAGACTCAACCTGACATTGTGTGTATACCCTGCCACTTGCTAATGTATAGTTTGAAACACTTCCCAGAAACAAGCAGACAACATGATTACAGAGTGTAGACGAACTGTTTTCGGAAAACATTATTTATAGCGAAAGGTGCCTTCAGGGACCCAAATGTACATTATATATAATGAACACTCTATTGCACTAAACTCTCTTACCTCGACTTTATTAGTCAACACCCAGCTCAAGAATAAAACTCAGGTCCTTAGTATTACAAGTGGAAAAATCATTTCTTCAAAATGAAGGGGGATACATGACACCATCCCCATATCTTTGTCTCATATTAAACTTTGCTTATGAACAATAAAACAAAGATATAGGGATGGTGTCATGTGGCTTTGTGGATATTTGGCGTGTAATGACCCCTTGTTTCTTCCTTTTTGGTGCTTCAAGCCATCCTACGGTGGCCGACAAGTGCCATCCTTCCAATTTCCATTTCGTCTTTCCATTTCCCAAATTCACCTCCCATTTTCCATTTTGTACCTCCACTTTCTGTTCGCCATCACGCGCTGCGCACGGTCGGATGATGCTAGGCCCCTACGGCTCATCAGAGAATCGTGGATAATGGACGCACACAGAAAAAGACATGCGCCGAGCCTTAGGGTTGCCGATGCGGCTGGGAATACCGCCGGCCTGATTGCGCCGCTAACGTCCCTCGTCGACATTTTACCGATCCGTGTGGGGTCTCCAGGTGGCTGTGGCGACTAGCGACTGTGGACTAAGCGTGCGGCAGACCCTTATATACGCGGCGGAGGTCTGGGTAGCGAGACCAGTGTAGCTAGGTCACGTCCAGAGCTGCGCCGTTGGACATGCGACGTGCTGCATGCCATTATGAAGCCGAGAATGGACGGCAGTCCGCGCTGCGCTGGTCAAGCTATCTAGAAGGCCGGGAAAACGGAGAACGGAAGCGTGAAATGGAAGCGCAAAATAGAAAAAGGAAATAAAATTTGGAAATTGGAAGTACAAAATGGAAAATGGGAGGTGAATTAGGAAAATGGAAAGACGAAATGGAAATTGGAAGGATGGCACTTGTCGGCCACCGTAGCTACCATCCCTATATCCCATTTTGAAGAAATGATTTTTCCACTTGTTTCCACTATTTTTCATGCCTTATGACAACACTGCATTTTCAGTCACTCTGATGTTCATGGAGATAACTGTTGAAATAAGCTAATGTGCTGCTCCTACCTGAAGCAGGGTGTATGCGTAGTGTCTCCAACAACGATGCAATTAGGTTGTGGCACATTATTATGGAGGGGTGGTTTCATAGGCAAACTTCAGTAATCAGACTACAATGATAGCTATAACCTGGGGAACAAACAATGAAGGCGCTGGGCAAGGCCCTCGTAACACGGCGCACACTGCCAAGTTGCTCATCGTACAAATCAACCGCTAGCCAATTAAAAATGTGTATACTGACTTACAGAAGGCACTGGAGGATAAGAGTTCCTCTGAAGGCATCCTGGCTTAGGCCACTCCAAGTTGCATTCCGGTTTATGGTCAGAGCCTTTTCAAGTCAAGATGCGGGCGGGCCATTATGTCGTTAGTATATACACTTACTATAGTGGGAAGACAGTCAAAACGAGACAAGTGCAAAACATTAGTACAACACTGCGCAGTAAAATATAATGACCAAAACTGCGTTCTCTTGAAATAGGTTGCGGGCGGCGGACCAGAAACCGGTATACAACTTGGAGTGGCCTTAGCCTCGTAGTCGTAGACCTGGTTCACGCACGAGACTATAGTAATGCGCGCGCACCGCACTGGGGAAACGCCCTCCTCGGCGCATGCGGCTCACTGATGATGAGTTAGCAGGTTGTTCAGTGACTACTGAGGAAGAGCTCAACGATCTACCGTAGTAACCTGCGGCAAGAAACAAACGATCGCGTGCACACCTCCGGAAAATTCGGAGACGCGACGTTCTGTGAAAAAATCAACGCTTCAAGTGCTTCCGGCAAGGAGCTAGCGGGTCTGAAGAGTAAATTATGATGATGATGATGACGCGAAAATCGTGAAATCGCGAATTCTCGCGTGGACGACTGAAGGTGCGTATGAGGTCTTTGGGGACATGTATAGGTATTCACTCGTGTCATCCCTATATAGAGAGTCTACCGTCTCTCTAATAGTAGCCACTAGGCAAAGGCCGTAATGGTAGTACTTGATAAACCAAGAGAGCTAACTATAGACTCTGTAGAAGACATGGCCAATACTTGTATAATTTGGCTTGCCATGCGAAAGGCCAGTGGATACCTGGATAGTATTGTCACTTTTATTTCCTCTCCCCAGGTCAATTTTGGAACATTCCAATTGCTGCAATAGTTGATGGCGGGGAACATTTTGTGGTCCTATTCAACTCTATGAGTCCTCACTACCGCCGTATACCAGCAGAGCTGGCAGCACTCACCTGGGACCACACCCTGGCTCCCTGTTACTATGTGGGAGACTCTCAGGGTGGCCCCGAGAGATCTAATGACCCCAGAGAGTCTGTCATTGAAGGAAGTGTGGCTTGGTACGAGACATCTTCTCTGTTTGGAACATCATTCTTTTACAGCAAGTTTGATGAGTCCCAGTGTAATACTGGTGGAGATTGAATTTACTACTCCCTAAAAAAAACTCTTAAACTGCTGAACTGGTGTGTGCTTTAGTAGAGATAATTATTATTATTATTGTTGCTGTGCCTAAAATGCCATTATAGAGCAGGTCATGCAGTCAATAGACTTAGCGAGCCCCACTGGGCAAAACCACTAGTACTTAGTGAAATAGAGGTAGCTATATAGCTAACATGTAGGTTACCATACATTTGTGAGATACACTTTCCATCAGTATTACGACTGATATATACCGGTATCAGTGGTGAAAATGATGTATGTAGCTACCTACGAAAATGGCTTAAATATTATTGTCCTTGTTGTCGTTCAGGTTAGACAGGCGTATCTCAAAACCAGGTAAGACGTAGAGATAAAACTTTGAACAGAGATTAAAATAAACCGCTTTATTGCAGCTGTCTCTCCCGATCGAATGTGGCGCGCCGTTTGTGATTTTTCCCGTAAACCTCTGTAATCTGGGTGACGGATATTTTTCTGGGCGACGAATCGTTTTCGCGTCGACGATTCTCCTTTCGTGGCTACGTATCTCTTTCGCGGCGACGGATTTCTACGCGACGATTGTTTATCAAGCGACAGAATTCTGTCACAAAGGCGAAATATCTTGGCTTGAGGCGGCGAAAAGCTATCACTGCTGTCAGGTAAATCGATAACTGCGACGATTTTTGTGATCGGGTGGGAGAGTTGAAAGGCCAACTTTCCTAGAGTGCGCCTGTAGTCAATACAGTATTCATCGGTCCCCTCCAAAGTCCCGCCTCTACTGGTTACGAGTAAGTTAACCTTTGAACTCTCCCACCTAATAGCAGTAATAGGAAAGTTACGTGCCGCATAACTGGTCGTCGCCCTAAATCCAAGATTAGTTCTCTTGAGAAGCTTTCGTCGCTTGATTAAAATCTTAGCTGTAGAAATTCGTCACCACGAAAGAAGAATCGTCGCCACGAAAGTAGAATCGTCGCCCCGAAAATCGATTCGTCGCCCAGAAAACGATTCGTCGCCACGATTACTGAGATTTACAGGAAAATTTCGTTTTGACACAAACGGCGCGCCATATATATTATATTTCAGAAGATGCCTACTAGGACACACTCATAAATTTATTCCTGGCAACCCCCGTCGACAGTGCAGTATATAGCAGAGTATATATGAGCTTCTTGGAGCCTACAGACTCACTGTAATATGCAGCTATGTATGTTTCTGCCGAGTGAGCAGTGAAAACAGTTCCCAGACATGCTCACCACATGCATAGACACAGACACAGACACACACACGTGCGTGCACACACACACACACACCGATGGGTAACAATCGCTGAACAACAGTTCAGAATTTTAATGAACATGCTATAAAACTACAGTTATCTATTCATGAAAGTAACAGTTATTGGTCCAGTCTTTCTGGCTCTGCACCTAAATCTACTCACACATCAGATCCAACCACAGTCATCAGACCCCTGGTAAAGAGAGAGAGGAGAGGGAATGAGTGGAGGGGATTGAGGGATATAGGGATGGCGGACCACAAAATTTAGACTGATAAAAAGGAAGCTGGGCACAGAGGAGGGAGACTGAGCAGTGTTCACCCCAGAACTTCTCAGTTTTATTATGAAAGGGGTTAGCTACTGCGATCTGCTCAAGTTCGTTCATGTGTTCCATGTATAGATGTTTGACAAATGCCCCTTGTGAGTAGAATTGCTAGAGGAGCGAGCAGTTCAAATTTTCACTTGTTTTTTCACGCAAATTTAGAACTACGTACAACATTAGGGTAAGTGCAGTGCAGCAGTGGAGGTCATAAAGATACATTATTCCGGCATTCAGACGACCAAGTGGGCTCGCTTTGCTTGCCAATTATGGGTGCACACAGCAAGCTGGCTAAGCACACGATGTAGTGCGTGGAGGTCAAGGTGTATGGCACACGAAGCTAGGTGCAGGGTACATAATACGTAGTGTAAGGAGGCAAGGGACAGAGGAACCTGTTGCCCAAATCCTCTGGGGAGAACACTGCTGAGTGAGAGATTAGACAAGAGAATAACAAGAGAGAGGGATATTTTACTTGCGGTAGTCTCCAGAGGTGTCTCCTTCAATCATCTTGTAGAGGGTCTTGTGGTACATCTTGAGGAACTCCTGCTTGATCTCCACCAGGTCAACCTACACACAGACAACACCAGCACTACATCAAACAAAACATTGCGCACAAGAGCAATAAAGCAACACTAACAGCCAAGAGAGGTCTGATCTTAGAATCAACAGGTCGTGTCCACTGTCAAGATTCTGGACAGTAATTATCGCATTCCTAGGTCACATATGATGTCACACTATGTGGAATATATGCCAAGTCAGCACTGTATTCACAGGAGAGAGCAAAGCTGCCTATATAGCACCTGTAGAAGCTGTTACCTTCAGTGATTACCCTCAGCGCGTATGCACAGCGAGGGTACGGTCTGTCTGTTACTCTACATCTCACTTCTCGACTGTTTGTTGTTTGTTCGTCTCACAAAGGATATGACCTACGTACTTAACGGGCAATGAAGGTCAGAAATTTCGAACGGTTTTCTCTGAAACTACTCCATTGCAAAGCTAGAGCGCGAAAAAGCCAATATGCAAATACACAACGGACGGCTTACCACGGTCTGATCGATCCGCGTGCTCTGCGTACCTCGGAGGCACCAGAAGATGCAACGCAGGGCGTGTATCGCCTGTCACATGCTATCTAGTAGTGTAGTTAGCCCGCGTCAGACTCTGCGCGAGCTGGCAAGAGACCACGAGTAACAGCTAAAACCAAACCCAGCCGATCAATTAGTGGTACGGCGCATGCGTTTACTTACGCGTGCACGTCACAATGCGCCAAGGGTTTGCACTTCAGTGCTTTTCATGTGGTCATCTCTTGTTCGTAGTTGGTCATAGCTTTGATTTAGCTTCTTTCTTATACATCCTATATTATTGCGCATACGCGCTAAAAGATTAACGAGTCTATAACGCTAAGCAGACCCCTCCTCTCTCGTTTTTGAGAGGGTATAGCTACGTCTGATTAAATTACAGGCAATGGGTTTGTTGAAACCTGTCTCCCAACAACTGACAAAACAACAACTGTGAAGGTGTTCCAATATTTACCTCGGAACGGCTGACGATGACACGGACAAGAGTCTCGTCATCAGTTCCTGCTCCCTTCATGCTTTGGTAGAGCCTCTCGGCAAAATAGGCAGGACGGCTCCTCACACACATCACTAGAGATGGCCCAGGGGAAGAGGAGGGAGTGGTGAGGGGGAGAGGTGTGGACGAGGAAGAAGAGGTGAAGAGGGGGAAGGAGAACCAAGCAGTGAATAGTGGGAAGAGATAACTAAACGCGTGTGTCATGTTTAGTAATCTGGCAGCATGTGCTTGAAGTTTTATGTATATTGTATAACACTCATGCATAATGTGTATTGAATCATGCTTACCCTTTCACTTGTGCAGCTACGATTTATGTCTCCCACCCGGAGAATTGCAGAGTACATGTGCATATATTACGTGCAGAAAGTGCTAAGTCAAGCGCATGCGTGCAGAGGGACTAAGAGAAAGGGAGGGAGGGAGGGAGGGAGGGAGGGAGAGAGACTAATGACCCACCAACAGTCCTGAATCCTGACTTCAGGTCTCCAGACATCTCACGTTCGATGGAATTCAGAATGTCACGCTGGGAAATCTGATGACAGACAGACAGACACACAAGACTTAGTCGATTGTTCAACAAACGCACATCGTAATGTGCACTTCACCTGTACCTACAAACCATCCAGCTTTTTGCTTGAAAATGGAGCAAAATATATACTGACCATCCCAACAGAAAATAACTAAGTGCCTCTATTTTGTGACAACCTGGGAGGCAATACATTTAAAGGGCCATGCAGTATTTCCAAGCAAGAATATCCTAAATCGAGCAAATTTACACATTTCTCAAGAAACCTTTATCTGCAGGTTGGTTAGTACATACGTTCACCCATAAAGAAAATTGGTTAAAGAACAAGCTTGGGAATGTAGTCAAGCTCTCTAAAATAAGGGTGGAGGAATTATGAACGTTTATACGCAACAGAGCACAGATCATCAAAATTCCGTAATTATGCAGAGTACTACGCCACCTTGGTATACTCGCTGAAGGTGGCAAGGAGCTGAGGGTACGAGCGAGTGGCCAGGATGTGGTTGAACTTGGACTCGTCAGTTCCCAGTTTCTTCTCCCCGGCACTGTACAGCTCCTGGGCCTCTCTGGTGGCCTTGGCCATGTCCGGTGTTGTGTTTTCCTCACGAGCACCCTGAACAACAGGGGCAGGGGGGTGGGGCATGAATCACATAACAGAGGGCATCTCACAGACACCTTGCTTTGCGGACGAGTTGCAAGTACTGCCACTGAACAGCTTTCTGGGATACACTTGCCAAGCTAAGGCCTCTTAATTAAAACTCTTTAGAGTCTGTCATTGTATCTTTGCACGCATGTGTATGACTATGTTTATTGAGCACGTGGTCTGAATGAGGTTTTTCCTACTCCTGAAGCCCAAAGGGTCCGCAATAATTGTCGCCAAATGGCGCTAAGTTGCTGTGGGTACATAGGCAAGTGACACTCTGGTGGTCTAGGCAGAGTGCTGTTTCAACGGTCCTACTACTAAACTGCAGCTACACATAATACTTTGCCGGAGTCAAGTTGACATGTACAGGTCCTCATACAACAGAAGTCGATTACTGCCAACCTTCTCCACTCCCTCCTACAACTGCCCCAATAAAATTCGGACAAGGCTTATTGGTGTGAGATTAACAGTGAGCTATGGAGCTATATAACGAAGAGTTGATAGCGTAGGGTATCTTATGTCGCTCCACACTTAACTATTGGTGTGAGATTTAAAGCGATGTGCAGCTACATAGGTACATTGTAGTTAAATCCTGAGGTGTCCTGTGTCATTCACATCATACATTTGGTAGAGAGTATTGCGCAAGAGTGTGCGTACCTGGCACATGGAGACAAGGAGCCTCTTGAAATGTCCACTGGTCTCGCTCACCACATCCTTCTCCAGGTTCCTACCAAACTCTGAGAGGACACGAGGGAGGGGAGAGGAGAGAAGGAGTGAAGAGGGAGGGAGAGGAGTGAGGGGAGAGGGAGGGAGAGGGAGGGAGAGGAGAGGAGGGAGAGGGAGGGAGAGGAGAGGAGGGAGAGGGAGGGAGAGGAGAGGAGCGAGGGGAGGGAGAGGGAGAGGAGGAGAGGGGAGGGAGAGGAGGGAGAGGGAGGGAGAAGAGAGGAGGGAGAGGGAGAGGAGGGAGACGGAGGGAGAGGAGAGGAGAGGAGAGGAGGGAGAGGAGGGAGGGGAGAGGGAGGGGAGAGGGAGGGAGGGGAGGGAGGGAGGGAGGGGAGAGGGAGAGGGAGGGAGATGAGAGGGAGGGAAGTGAAGAGGGAGGGAGAGAGAGGGAGGGAGGGAGAGGAGAGAGTGAAGAGGAGGGAGAGGAGGGAGGGGAGAGGAGGGAGTGAAGAGGGAGGGAGAGGAGGGAGAGGAGGGAGGGAGAGGAGGGAGGGGGGAGAGGAGGGAGGGAGAGGAGGGAGGGGAGAGGAGGGAGAGGAGGGAGGGAGAGGAGGGAGGGGAGAGGAGGGAGTGAAGAGGAGGGAGAGGAGAGAGGGGAGAGGAGGGAGTGAAGAGGGAGGGAGAGGAGGGAGTGAAGAGGAGGGAGGGGAGAGGGAGGGGAGAGGGAGGGGAGAGGGAGGGGAGAGGAGGGAGGGAGAGGAGGGAGAGGAGGGAGGGAGAGGAGGGAGGAAGAGGAGGGAGAGGAGGGAGTGAATAGGGAGGTAGAGGAGGGAGGGAGAGTAGGGAGGGGAGATGAGGGAGTGAAGAGGAAGGGATACGAAGGGCAAATGGAAGGTTAAAACAAACAGAGAGCACAGAAAACAAGGAGAGAGAAAGAAGTGGTTATGTATATAGTACCGTACGAATGGATTGTGTAGTCTCTCACCAACTTTGTAGGCAGCAATGATCTCATGGATCTCTTTGTTGGTGCGAGTGCACATGATCTCAATCAGAGCTCGTTCATCAGTACCAGCACCCTGTGCATTACGTACGTACACAGCATACACCACAGAGTCATTCAGATGCACACAAGTAGATACACCAGGTAACACAAAACTACTAGTACACAGTACAAGTGTGTTACTGTGCATCAACAAAAATTTGTTTCTGTTTCCCTCCGTTCCATTTGCGGAATGGAACGGGCACTCCGTTCAATTCCGTTTGTTCAGAGCTTACGATGTTCCTTCGCGAGTGACGGTGGGCGTGGCTGACCACAGCTAGTGTAGGCATGCTTAGAAGATCTAGTTTTAGCGTGGTTGTCAGGTGAAGAGTTGCAGCATAGGGAGTAAAAACAGCAAACACGGCTCTCCACCTTTCCCCCCGCTAAAACTACGCCCGACTTTTAATGTAAGACAGGCAGTAGCGACTGGCAGTAGCGACAGGCAATAGTGAGACACTTGTTCAGTTTTGACAGAACAGAGGAGAAAGGGACAGACCGACCACACTGAAACTTTTACAACACACACGTAGTCGTGTATAAAATATACAGTGTTGTGTACCTTCATGGCCCTACGAAGACACTTGGCGTCATAGAGTGTCTTCTTGTCCATGAGAGACACGATAAAGTCCTCAAAATTGCCAGTGAGCTCGGATTTGAGCTCCTTGATGAGGTCCTGTGGTGGGGAGAGGGGGGAGAGGAAGAGAGGTGCAAGAGTACATTACCAAGTATTGCACAACAGACACAAAGCACTAGAGACAGAGGAATGTCCGACATTTTTTGGGGAAATGACTTATGTCCCCCTCTAGAGAGGTTGTCTCTATCTCAGTGGTCCCCCCTATGTATTTCACGTTAGAATGTTGGTTAAATAGAGTGATTTAGAGTCGCCTTGCGTACAAAAGGTGAACAAAAGGTAGTGGTGATGATTGAAGTTGCACTTTTCGCATGGACTTACGTACAGCACAGGTACATGTACACATCGTACTAGTGGTACTACAGTTGGTAAAAGCTTAAGTACTAGCTGATCACGGCAATCATTAACGTGGTTCACCTTTCTTATGCACTATATAATTATAGTTCTACAATCCTGGTGCTTGTAATCTTTTCAGATGTGGTCCGCTTCTCATTATAAGAGGCCCAAATGTTATTGCTACACACACAGGCCAAGCGGCATTAATTAGAAAACCTATGGTATCAAACACGGAATAATTCCTGAAACTTTGCTAGGAAGTAGGAATGAAACCCTTTGGACGCCATGGGGATCTGCTTAAATAAACAGAAATTGATGTATAAAGTATTTGCACCTGTAGTATTATAACCCCCATATAAATTCTTATAGACTTATGGAGGCTCTAGACACATTTGTGTGTCCGCGGCTGGTTAAGTGTTATTGATGTAGACATGTTACGTTGCCTCTGTATGATACACTAGAATTTACCCTGTTACAGATCAAATTGACATGTTTCATGCAAAGTAATAATATTTTAATGATATCCCTCTTCAACTAACAGAACTACAACATCTCACCCTTACCTTGCCATACATGAGCTTGAACTTGACCAGGATCTGCTGACGTTGTTCGTTGGTTCTCTTAGTCAGGAGGCCGATGATGGCCATTTCATCAGTGCCTACAACAACACCACTTTATACAATGTTTATATGCCCACACCTAAAGACTCTACCTGACCTCTCGAAAAATTGTCATAACTTTTTTAAATTGTAAAAAAGGCTAACGCTGTTGTAAAATTCCCGCAAATTTCCCGTTCTGATGTTCACTAACCATGGTACCTCTCAAAAAGTTAGCTGTATGTCTCATAAGAAAAGTATATGCCATAACTAAGTGTGCGGTGCCTGTAAAACAACCACTTTCAGGGCTAAGGTGAATGCGAATAGACGTTAATAGAGCAAAATACGCGCATAACAGCTGAATCGTAGCTAAGCAGATTGAGATTGAGAAAGTCATGCAACAGGGAGGAAAGAGAGGGAGGGAGAGGAGGGCCCGATGATTACTAGTTACGATAATGGAAACGTCTGGGTAATTACATTGTTTTTCATTGGCTAACCCCGAGCCCTGTTCCCTTATGGCGCACTGCGGCCTGAACTAACATTTGTTCCTTTTGCCCTTTCTTCACTCCATTTAGTACACCCGGATTTATAACCAACAATCGTGGTAGTCACGAAGCTTTTTCAATGGATTTGTGTGGGTGGGGACCATTGCATTGTGGGATGAACATTCTGTTATTAATTCTTCTGTGTGAGTGCCTATTGATTAGAGGGGTAACCCCTGTGCTTCCCGGCCTCAGCTAAACCCCTATATACACTCACCCATTCCCTTCATGGCCTTGCGCAGTACGCCGGCGTCAGCCTCAGCATCAATGCTAGCTGGAGCCTTGATGGTCCCATGGCCCTTCTGCTCATTCACAGACATGGCCGCCATCCCACTAGTAACCTGAGAAGTCAGTAAACGATGTTCTCTTATTAGGCAAGGTCTGGGTTTTTACACTATGTATGTACTGGTTGATGGAACATGCAATGTGATGTAATGCAACCTTGCATAACATGTTAAGGAAGGACTTAGCAAACACATTGTCTGTGGGTGCATAATTATGTTTCTGCTAATTTGCACTCAGTTACATCATGGACTCCCAGTAGCATAATGTGAATGTGACTTTGCTAGTTTGACTACACAATTGCGACTCTGCAGTAAATTGTTTATTATGCTCGTCCAAGGCAAATACTTGCTTTAGAAGGCCTCGAGCCCTTGAACCTCATCGAACTAGTGCATATTGCACCCTGCACTCCTTCTATCCCTTACAACACAAGGGATCACTCGGCCTTCTCACGGAATCTGTATCTACAGGCTGAGCGAGACTATAAAATTGTTGGGCATCAGTATTACAGAGCCACCTGGTGGATCTCAAAGACTTTCTTTGCTGCATGTGTTGGTTTCAGCACGTTATGTTGGTAGGTAGGTAGGCTCTAATTCTATTTCTGGCGCTATCTTTGAAAGACCTCACTGAGCAATGAACACAGCTTCTATTCACTCTTTGTGGTAAATTGGAGGTCATTACACAAGGTGCCAGAAGGCTGCAGCTGTATATAATAGACTCTGTAGGGGTCCTAACGAAGGTCCTTTGCCAGGAGCACAGTTCACCTCAAAGCTTAAAACAGCTCTAGTGATTGGTCATGCACTCGTGTGATACTGTAGACTAAAATAGAAGCCCGAGGACCCTTGCACTGTAGCGTTCCAAGTGCAGCGAGGATGCAACGTGAACGGCCAGAGGGCTTCAAACGCACATAGATTTCAACGGACGAGATGACTAATTTATTTAGTACGTACTCCAGTTGACGCACATTTGTTTTTACCCGTGCGAGGGTTGCACTGTGGAAATTGCACCGCGGGCACTTAGTAAACACGATGCGAGTTACTACGAGATTTATTATTAAACACGTTTCACGCGTGAGTGCATACTAAATAAAATGAGGACTCTAAATCAGCAAATTATCAATGAATTAGGAGGCGTGAACGTGGAACGTGGGACTGAGGAGCATGAACAATGAACTGCAAGGTATGAACCACAAAACAGCTGGCCACTAAGACACAAACTGTACAAATTTACATAACGAAAGTCTCTTGTGTCTATGGTAGCATTGTGAACACACATACGTACATTGCTGCGTGGTTGTGATGTATGTATGTATACAAGGACCACCACACACCACGCCCATGTAGTTATACAATCTGTATGAGTACTTAGCAGACTTGCACTAAGAGCTATAATGCATGCAAAAGTACGCATATTATGTCATACATGTGTATGTAGTGTCATATGTTACTGTATAGAGGCTAAATACACAGCACACCCTCTTACACGTGTACTAATGGCTAGATTACCATATTATTAGCAGCTACATACAGTGGTTGTCTATTAGCACACATTTGCATACGTGAAATGCTACCATTACGGCTCGTAATTTTCTAGATGGGCAACAGATTTGGGAGTTTCAATGTCAAACACACTATGTACATATCATCTTTTTTGTATTAGATGGGGACTTTGTCAAACCAGGAACGTACACTACGTATTGTAAGCTACAACATATCTAAGAAATTTGGCACAATAACAGTCAATATGGGGAATCTGCCAAAACCTCTTGAAAAAGGTTGATGCACGACAGCGGTTCATAAAATGAAATTGTAACACCAAAATCAACTCATTTAGTCCATGAACCCTTGAACATACTGTACAAGTTCATGAACCGTTGAATATTACACTTTCATTTCCTGTATTTTGTACATACTAGTATAAACGTGCACTGCAACTACAGTAAGACCAAATTTGCATTTACTATGGGCTTTATCTTATGCTTGCCATGACATGACACATGCAGGCAAAACACAGCCAGTAGTGGATTGTATAAACCTGACCTCAACAAAAGCCTTTTCCAGAAAGAGCTACTGCCCAGTAACAGCAAGAGAGGCTAACTCTACTACACAGACTGACTGACTGACTGAGCAAGGGCCAGGGCTACTGTTTTATACAGGACCACTGTACACCACGCATTACATTGTACATACAGCTCAGGAATGTCCTATATATACATACACACATGTTGTAAAGGGCAATTACAAACAGAGGAAGTCAGGTAATCCACCACTTGTAGAAAATCAGTAGACTCAGTTCTCAGCTATCCACAGGGGAACAATTGGCATAGTTCCTAAGTAAACCTAAGCAGTTGATCTTCATGACTCAGTAACCACCACAGCCTGCTGTATTGGACCAACACAGGAACTGTGGTTGTGGTTGTGGTGCTATGGCCACAAAAGTAACTGAAGCCCAAAATTACAGTTCTTGCCACACAGGGTGCAACTGTGTTTGTCAATTTAGCATTGACACAGTTTGTCATGAATGCCAGTTGCATTTTTGGAATGAAATTCGAGTAATCAATTCCAGATATCGCTTCAATTCTCATGCAATCCACGTCGTCATGTTGACCGCAGTTACATATATATACACAAAATAATGAATACAGGCACGACAATTAATGCTGTATTTATTAGCAAGGACTACACAATGGGTCTAGAACAGGTTTACAATGCGAGAGCGTGGTTATTAAACGGAATTACGTGGAACACTTTATTTTCTGTGCCATCGTCGTCGTGTTTACCACAGTTACATCACACACAGACATGGCTGTATACATATATGAGCAGAGATTACTTCTAGGAGAGATTCACTAAGTGAGATTCACTAAGTGAGAGTGTTAGCACAGTGATTTTAAAGCCAGTTCCTGTATGCTATGTAACTCTGTGTGGAAAGAAATGCTGCAGAATTCTGCACTAGTGGCAGCTACGTCCTTGGAATAGTGTGATTTCCACTGTTCATTAGTCGTCGCTAGGAGCAGGCAAATTGAGGTTGGTCGCCAGTCTGTGCAGAAATCAAGTGATGGGCAGTTACACACTGTTACACACTGTGTAATTGATGATAATTGATAATGATGTAAACGTTAATGGCTAATACGACCCATGTAGGATGAACACCGGGCAATACACATTATGAAACCCATTACCATTCCTGGAGCAAAAGGTGCAATTGTCGCATCTTGTAAGAAGCCAGATAATTAGTTCCCAATCACCATAGTGAGTGAGAGAGAGACTATTACTTCAGTCTGTACTCTTCAACTGAGCCCTCTAAAACTTAGCATCCATTTGAATCCTCACAACCCACAGGTCTAACTGTAAGTCATCACTAACCCCGACTATCCCTTACCAGTCAAACAGGTTGCGCCATGGAATGCAAATTGAGTAAGTCAGGTGTTTAGTAAACTATTGATGCAGGTTGCCTCTACCACGAAATCACCTTGCATGATTTAGTACATGGATGATAGTGGCAGCAGTTGTTGTGGTATTTTGGTCATTGTATACACTAGTTCTGACTGTTTACTCTGAACCTCTTATCCCCTCTAGTTCAGTACCTCTTACCCCCTCCCTCTACCCTGAACCTCTTATCCCCTCTAGTTCAGAACCTGTTACCCCCTCTACCCTGAACCTCTTATCCCCTCTAGTTCAGAACCTTTTACCCCCTCTACCCGCTCTACCCGCTCTACCCTGAACCTCTCACCACCTCTAGTTCAGAACCTTTTACCCCCTCTACCCTGAACCTCTTATCCCCTCTAGTTCAGAACCTTTTACCCCCTCTACCCTGAACCTCTTATCCCCTCTAGTTCAGAACCTTTTACCCCCTCTACCCTGAACCTCTTATCCCCTCTAGTTCAGAACCTTTTACCCCCTCTACCCTGAACCTCTTATCCCCTCTAGTTCAGAACCTTTTACCCCCTCTACCCGCTCTACCCTGAACCTCTCACCACCTCTAGTTCAGAACCTTTTACCCCCTCTACCCTGAACCTCTTACCACCTCTAGTTCTGCACCATTTACCCCCTCTACCCTGAACCTCTTACCACCTCTAATTCTGAACCTTTTACCCCCTCTACCCTCTCTACCCTGAACCTCTCACCACCTCTAGTTCTGAACCTTTTACCCCCTCTACCCTGAACCTCTTACCACCTCTAATTCTGAACCTTTTACCCCCTCTACACCTCCATACAGCCATAGAATATGTGGGGCTGGGGTCATAATGAATCCAGGGGCAATTTTTGAGATCTGTATCAAGAACTATGGCAAAACATCAAAGAACCAGGTTTTGGTGCCTTTGCAGCACGATGCAGACTGTGAACTACATACTATTTATAGGGTTTATGGTCAGCAGGCTACGTCATTTCACAGGTCCTGGAGAAGGAGGGGGCACAGGACCCAGACAAATAAATACTCTCCAAAGACGATCTTAACTAATCAGCACTAAAGTGCAAACCCTTGGCGCATTGTGCATGCGCGGTACTGCTAATTGGTGGGCTGAGCTATGTGTTTCTCGTGGTCTCCATACTAGAGTCTGACACAGGCTAGTTACACCAGTAGATAGTATGAGGGAGTCGACACACCCCTTCAGTTGTTACTTTTTGTGTCTCATACTCAGAGCGAACTGATCAGGTCAAGTTAAAGCAGTGCAATGATGCTTTTTCGCTTGTTATCACACTTGAGCGCAGTCGTTTCAGGAAAATCACAATTTTATTCTTCAGGTTCGTGTACCTCTGAAGCATTTGGTACGACTCATAACCCGCCTCGTTCCTCCCTGTAGTGCCAGAATAAGCATTGACAAACAAACAGACACACAGACCAAGTACAATAACCCTCGTTGTGCATGTGTGCCGAGGTTAATCATTTGGGCCCTAGTTCATGGGAAACATAAGGGAGGGCAGATTGAGCTACAGAGGTATATAGACTTTGTTGATGAACCATAGCCTCCTGACGGTCCACGAGATTATGGTTCACCACACATCATTGGAGACATCCCTAGAGACCAAGTAATAGTGCAGTCCGCTATACCAACTGGGTGAACATGACAGAGACAGCAAAAAATGTTTAAAGTCCACGCAACAAGAAACCCCACAATTACGTTTACAACATAATCAGTATATACATATGTATATTGCACTTTTGCATAGAGACTGCACCAGAGGAGGCGGTGCACACAACACTGTCATGAACCGAGAAATCGGAATGATTGTGTGCAACCTTGCTGGACAGGTAACACACGAACGAACAGAGGCCGTCATGCTAACAAACTCCCACAGACTGCAGGGTTGATGTACGTACATACATTCATACAGTAGAGTAAGCATCCCGAGTGAAAAGAGAGTTGATTTAACGCGCATTTGCGTAGGTTTTACGCGCTGAAATGCGACGTGGTATCGCGGTAGTCTCTTAAAATCGCCTTTCATCGTGAGAAATACGCGCTTTTCTTAGCAGCGCCCTGTCGCGCTATGAGGCGATATCACACGCTACTTCCGCGCGCATTTTTCGCGTAAAATTATTAGGTGAACTACCACTTGCACTGTACAATACTGAGTGTTCTATCTGCGCGATGATATTGCGCAATTGCGCGATTTTCTTGCGCGCAAATATACCGTGCGTTCTAGCGCGCAATGACGAGCATAGCCGCAGAGACACGTAGAATCGCGCAAAAACACGATTAAGTACGTTACGGTCATTTAGTACGCGTAACGACGTCTACCGCTTTCACCCGGGATACACAAGGAAACATCTTCTGTATATATAAGCAAGCACTATCTGAAGGGAGGTACATACAGATTTAAAAAAAGTTCATGACATATGACCACCTTTACCAGGCAAGTAAGCTGATATAGTCTCGTGTGTGCCCACACCCAACCAACAAGGGAGAAGGGGTCCGGTTGAGCACTTCCAGGTAGAAGAATCACACTCCGAATCAGATTTCGAGGAGAGTGCAAGTGAAAAGCACATGGTTACTCTGTACAAGTCTCCTGATGCAACTATGTATAAGTGCCCCCACCATTATAATAATATTAGCTAATTGGAAGAAAGCCCAAAAGCTTTCCGGCTACACCTTACGAACAGCCAAACATGTCTGATTGCCTTGATTCAGCTGAGCTTCTTATACTGGTCTCTTCATTTCCTAAAGTCTGTCGAGGTGTGTTGTAGTGTAAAACTTTACTGCGATAGAGCATTAATCCTTTCTAGATTTCGTTTTGACTGCGAAGTGTCCAAGCTGATCGGCAACCGGGGTTTCAAATGGGAAAGCTTCTTACTCTTAGCACCTATCATCAAGAGCACTCAAACAAAGGAAGAACATTCAAAAAACCTCATATCCGCCAATACAGCGAAGAATCTGGATTAAAACAAAAGACTAGGAGACTATCTCATACATACAACAGTAAGCATCTACACCCAAACACAATCACCACCAGGGTCACGTACAGTCCATCAAAGTGAAGTGGAACTCTGACACTGGAGTCACATATCACAGCTTACAACCTACACATGAAACTCAACCACCAAGTACATGAGTCACAGCAAAGAGAGACTCAACAATAAGTGGGAGTTGCTAGGTAGGAATCTCCTTTGAAACCCAAAACCCAAGTACATCAGTCACAGCTAAGAATCCCAAAATGAAACTAAGTAGGGGGCACACATCACAACTACATTGTATGTATAGAAAAACTCAGACAAACTGAAAGGATGACATTATAACGGCCAAAGAACTGAAGCTCATGCTGTACATCACATCAGTAAACGTACAACATCTACCAGGAACAAACGGCCCCAACAGCCACTCACCACTCCTCTGATGTGGCAATGAATTATCTGAAAAAGCAAAAACAAGGCTGCCTGACACGCTCAGGATATGAAAGCTGCTGTGTTAGGCTGGTTGCTGTTCATTGCTACTGTAAGAGCTCCACACTCTAGCCAGCTATACATCTCAACTGCTAGCCGTGCAGAAAAGAAGAAAAATGGTGTAAGTGTAAGTATTTTATTGTTGTCACACAAGCACTTAAGTTGCACATTGAATGGAAATTTTAGCAGGAGAATAAAAAAGATGTTTGTCCTCAGTTCAAGACCTACTTTTACAATTTCTTAGCCTTGTGATTAAAATCAACACAGGCTGATTCGAACCACATAAATATACGGATAAGACAGGTAATACACAGGGCCTATAAATGTCAGTTTGTTTTCTCGCCGTAGCTCCAACTCCGATGAACATAAACTCACTTAATGACCTACCCCCACATTACAGAGTTCCTGATTAAATTTAGGAGGCTCTTACTACATGTACATTGCTTTATGCCGCAGTCAAACTACTCGGCCGATTTGTTGACCTGCGGTTTTGCAAGGAGAAAATTCCTCCAGAAGACCGCCAGACACCCTAAAAAGTTTTCCGCCTGTTAAATATAAACAGCGACACACAGTGTAGTATGTTACACTGGTGCTAAATGGTTCCAGTGGTTTGTGTATAGTTGGGGTATAGTGTGTAGTCTGGGGTATAGTGTGTAGTCTGGGGTATAGTGTGTATACAACACACTGCAAAAGTGCATACAATGCCCATCGTGTGTTCATCGTAACAGACCCTCGCTACGACAAATTTACCACACAATTATACGATGATAAACTATACAGAGACTCAATCTAGGCAATATTGTGCAGAAGATGAGTGTCAGTTAACGCAAGCTCTGCACCCCCCACAGAGCACGTTGGTATATCGCATTTTAGCCACCGCCAGAAGACAGACAGACAGACAACACCAGTAAACCAAGTGCCAACCTACATACTGTATGAGTCACATGTATCATAGCAACGTAAGAATCTACAGTGAAACTCAAACCCTATATACCATAAATACTTGTTGGTTAGTTACATGTAAGCAATAATTATTATGACCGCTCACTGCACATCTCTGCACTTATGTAACTATTCACTAGAGCAACAGATGGTGTTTGCATAATACATAATAAGGCAAACAAATAATCCAATATAGAGCTTTTTCCTTCCAACACTACCCTACTGGTGGGACAAACCTACGACATGACATGTATGAACCCTTCTTGCACACGTAGGATTGTATAGGCTGATACAATCCCCCACTACCTAACTTCATACATGTCGGTTGCCTAGGGATATCCAACAAATATGTATGTCTTGACGTGTCTACAAAGTCTACATCAGTTTTTATCTCATTTTCTAGGTGAGAGCTGTTCACCAATATCACAGAAGAAACATAGTTGCAAATGAAGATGTTCTCACAAGAGTCTTAGAGAAGCAAAGGAATGTATCATGTCTCCATAGAATTGCAGAGTACACGTGCTTACGTGCAGAAAGTGCTAAGTCAAGTGCACGTGTGCAGAGGGACTAAGAGAGAGGGAGAGGGGAGAGAGAGAGAGAGAGAGAGAGAGAGGGGAGGGGGGAGACAGACAGACAGACACACACACACACAGACAGAGGGAGAGAGGTCGTATGTATTAACCTTGGAGGCCTGTTGCTGGGGAGGAGGTTGCTGGTGGTGGGCCGCTGAAGGATGCTGGTAGCCTAAGAAGAGAGAGTAACACGTGTATAGCCTTGTTTGAAGACGTACATACCTTACACACACACGTGTGGGCTGAATTTGGAGTGTGAGTGATAAAATAGCAGAGAATGCCTGGGAATGATTAGACTGTGTACGCAGCACATTTGTGCAAAAGCCTCAGCAAAATTTAACAGGTTTACCATGCACACTTTTCTTCGTAAGCCAGTATAAATATATATACTCCACGAAAATTACTGAACTGCAAACCTTCGGCGTACTGAAATTGACGTGTATGTACAGTACATCAATAATATGTACAACTTCAGCTACAAATTACTAAGGTACGGTGAAATCTCTTAAAACTTGACAAAATTCTGATGATTGTACCAATGACCGAGATGTGTATAGGATTACCAGCAGGAGGAGGTTGCTGGGGGTAGCTTCCAGGGGGAGGGGCTCCGTAGCTCTGAGCAGGAGGCTGGCCGGGGTAACCTTGGGCCGGAGGTTGTCCGGGGTACCCCGGTACGCCGGGGTAGGAAACGGGGGGCTGTCCGGGGTAACCCTGGGCTGCAGGTTGTCCGGGGTACCCCTGGGCCGGAGGCTGGCCGGGGTACCCCTGGGCCGGAGGCTGGCCGGGGTACCCCTGGGCTGGAGGCTGGCCGGGGTAGGAGGTAGGTGGAGCTCCGTAACCAGGCTGGCCGGGCACTGGAGAGTTATAAACAGGATAGTTAGCATACTCTTGCATGCAGGGTTCGATATACAGTACACTGTTACAGAGTTGGTGGGCTTCAACTACGAATCGTGTAGTAGTGCTTGACCTCAGCGTACAGTATAGTAAGTCGATACTATTTGAGTTTACCGTGGTGCGAAATCACAATCAACTCGAGCCAGGTTTAGTATGCCAGTAAAAACAGCATGACCACCAATTGTCCGTAATTCTATCATATACATCATACTTTAAACCAGACCTGTTCGTTCTAGTACTTTAGCTAAGGCCTAACACGAAACAGCGCCACTCCTGATTGGTTGACTAGCTATTCCATGCCTTGGGAAAATGTGCAAGATAGAAGAATGGCCATTGCTGGCAGCACTAGAGCCAGGGCCTGCCGGTGCTGGGAGAGCCAGTGCTGGGAGAGCCTGGGCCTGCCAGTGCTGGGAGAGTCAGGGCCTGCCAGAGCCAGTGTGATACACATGCACAATTTCCAGCTTTAATAGCTATTGCATGAGGCAACCCTAGATTCTGACCAGTAGCCTAAATTGGGGTACCCTGACATGTTTTCAAGGTGCTTGGTTCACGATGCAAGGCATTGTGACTAAGTTTGATAATAAAGAGTAAGCCAACTGCCACGGCCCTCTAACAGGAGTAGTAGAGGTAGGTTTATACGACATGGAGCTGTACTGTACTAGCACATGTGGCTGTAGCAATAACCTTATTCTTGTAGTTAGCATTGGCTGGACAAATCAAACGGTTGCGTCCGGATGTGTTACCAGAACTGTGCGTGTACTGTTTCCTCCAACACTTACTGTCTCCACAATGTGCTTTTAGCACCTGGTTAAAGCTCTAGCTAATGTGCAATGTCTGCGAAAACCTTGTAGAACTACTAGCCGTGGCCGACTCTAAAGCCGCATGTTCATGTAAAGAAAGCAATTTGGCTAATTACAACACACAAGTGTAGTGTATGCCGACAGGAACATTGTGCCTACTAATTGGCTGCCCTTAGAGCCATTTTGTGTTTGATGCTGTTTGTGCCTGCAAGGATAATTATTTAGCACTGGTGGGTTATGTAACCAAACATAATAGTTGCATACCCGGCTGCTTGGTTAGACATTCAGATGCATAGTACGTACACTTCCATAACAGGAGCAAACATAAAGCAAAACACGAGAAAAAATACGTATATGTACAGTACATCTGCAATATAAGCCCAAAAACTCAATATCGGTGAAAAATGCCTTAGGGGCCCTTTCCCAGATCAGGTCACATACATAGGGCAAAACAGTCAATGGTGGGGGGGTACATGAGGTGACTGACCAGTGAATCCTGGACCTCCGGGAGGTGGAGGGTAGCCAGTGGCAGGGGGAGGGTAGCCTGCAATGAGAGAAAGATATGGGTATCAACCAAGATATGAGGTATGGGTATCAACCAAGATATGAGATATGGGTATCAACCAAGACATGAGATATGGGTATCAACCAAGATATGAGGTATGGGTACATCAACCAAGATATGAGATATGGGTAATACTGGATGAATGCCTAGCATTTGTGGTGAGCGACACAAAGCAAACTATGTAGGAATGTATAAGACTAAGACTGCCACTTGTAGCCCCACAAACGCACAGCAAGAATTCTGTGGTACTGTGGAGGGGGATATTGAAAGTGTGAGTGTGTGTGTCCTAATGGGCTTCTGTACACCTTGCATGCAGCTACACATTAGCTAAAGTTCTCACAATCTCTCTCGACATGTTTTGTGCATCATGTGGCTGTATCTGAACCTGGCGTATGTGTATGTACTTCATGTCTCTCTCTTACCTGCGTGCATGCGTCAATATGAGTGGTTACGAAATTTCAGGTATTGTTTCTGCGAAATTACAGAATCACGTAGAGCATGTGTACATCGGTTGGATGCAGACAAATTCTCCCGAGTTGCTTATACCATTTTCACTAACACCGGAGCAACTAAGGTGTTAGTGAAAATGGCCACTACTTATTCCAGGACATGTAACAGAAGTAATAGAACAATAGTACAGTTAACATGGTGTACCTACATAATTATGTACATGTTATACACCAGTACAGAGTAGTATAATCACTGCAGTGTTATATGTAGGAGAGGAGTTCAAAAGGAAAAAAATTCCACCAGCAGCCTAATCTTATCACACATCTACATACTCTGCCTATTTCAGTTTAGCCAGATACTTGTGGTATGAGGTGAGCAAGGGTTCAACCGTTGATCACCATACATTGTCTCACTTAGTGTTATTCATAGCTTGCAGACCCATGAGGCCATCTTTCAATGAATAACACAAAACGCTAGTCTCATCTGCAAGGGCCAAAGAAACTACGGACACAATGTGATACTAACACACAGGATTTTCTGAACGTGTATCACGTCGCGATTGATTCCCTGTGACACTTTGTTGCATGCATCAGTCAAAAATTTTACGGGATGTTACATCTGTCGTTTTGTAGGCTTTTGCGAGCAAGGACACCTGCTCAAAATTTCTGACGGGCTTCAATTGCACAACATGAAGATAGTAAGGCTTGTTGTAAACTACAAACTATGCATAGGTCATTGAGTGCAGTAAGAGAATATTAAGTAGGATATGGAGGCTGTGTACTGACCTCCAGCAGCGGGAGGGTAACCAGCAGGGGCAGGGTAACCAGGAACACCACCAGGTGGGGCAGGGTAGCCCGGAGCTCCACCAGGAGGAGGGTAGCCCTGGGGAGAGGGAAGGGAAGGGAGGGGGGAAGAAAGGGGGTTGAGAAGTGGAGTGACAAGGAAGAGGGAGGATGACATTTGTGAACTGTAGTGAAACTGTAGTACACAGCTGAGATATCCTGCGTGTTGTAGTCACACATACAACACATAGGTGATGAGACTTGCGAGCTATTGTAAGCTACTCAGATCGGAACGCCCATGGTTTCGCTGTAATCCGTGACGCACGCACAAGTGTGCACACACAATCTCTCACCGCTCCTCCAGCTCCGGGAGGGGGAGCGCCGTAGCCAGGAGCACCTCCAGGGTAGCCAGGATACGCCATCAATAGGTTGCAGCAATCACTCTCACACAGACACTGCACTGGTAATGGCGATACGACTTCGTCTGCCTTCTCGGTTTTTAGGGTGGGGCTTCGCGCGCGCTCGGATGGGATCCCCGTATTCTCCCGTGCCCTGCCCGTAGCTCACCCACCTGGGCCCGGGGCGGTGAGCACTAATTAGTTGTGCACCTACACTATAATTTTACATTGCTTTGGAATGTTTCACCTCTATCCTGCCATATCTGTGCTTGGCTGTTGCTCAGCACCACCTGCAAACCTCCGATTTGGGTCTGCAAACAATATTCGTGATAATATATACCTGGACAGGGGAGGGTGGTGGTGAGTAGACACCTGTGGAGGAGTATGGGAGGCAGGGTAGGTCGACCGACTTTCTGGGAATGCTCAACGAACCTAACCGTGCCTAACAATGTTCAGCTGGTACATTGACTGGAAAATGTGGTAATGGTGGAGAGGTTGAGTCAAAGAGACGGAAGTTTACTATTATAATGGCAGAAGTGCACTTATAATTATGTTAGTCCCCAGCTATTGCCGTTCGTGCTAACCAGGGTGGAAGAAATTCACCTACATAGTGAAGATATTTCATTGCATTGGCTACTGACTCCACATGATAATGCAGACAACTATATAGAGATGGAGAAGGAGAAGGAGAAGATGAACAAAACTCCCTATCATAGCCCCATACATCAATCATGCTGGGTACCATGCCCATCCCTAATACTAAGTACTACCGCACTTAGTGATTATGATGATGCATCATTACAAATATCTAGTTAGTGATCTAATGAGTACACAGACCATACACACAGGGTTAGTGGATGTATAATTATAGCTACACAACAAACTTCATCCACTGTAATTATAAAATGTCAGTGTACTACAAGTAGACAATTCTATCCCAGAAGCTTGATGTAGTTGGAGTCACTGTCCAAGAGGTCAGTGAGGGTGTTGACCAGTGTGGCAAACTTTGGCCTCTCCCGAGGACTGGCTGACCAGCATGAGGTCACAACTGACCATCTGTGGAATGGTGAAGAAATATTATGATAAGCTATGAGGACATACCACGGAATTATTATGTACGATTGAAGTGCATGTCGACATTCACTTTTTGCTTTTAATCTTCACTGGCACCTCCATGTGCATGATTGTGCACCGAGTAATATGCATATTCATTATCAGAAAAAGAGTTTTTTTACACTTGCAAACTTGTTGCCTACTAAACTAAGAATTATTCACTCTAATCTCCTGTCTCTTACATGTCATCAGAGCAGGCGATGTTGCTGGGTCTATCAAGTCTGTGTCCAGAGCGGAGCTCACTCAGTAGAGTGGTGACTGGGACCCCAGCATACGGCACTCCTCCACATGTGAACACCTCCCAACACGTCACTCCAAATGACCACTACAAAACCAACACGACTATTTCAAGTTGATATGTCTCAACAACTTGGTTGCGAGGTAGAAAAGCAAGGCATGGCAAACAACTCAACTACACCCAGGACAGCTCTTTCTTTTCAAGAAAAGTTGCCCCGGGTGGGATTCGAACCCACAACACTCTGCAGTCTAGGCGAGCGCTCTACCAACTGACATGATAGCTATACTTGACTCACCATATCAGTGCTCTCATCAAACACGTGGGTTTCGATGCTCTCCAGAGCCATCCACTTGAGAGGGACCCTTTCCTCAGTTCCAGCCTGTCTTTTCTCTTGGCGGTAGTAGTTAGAGTTGTACATGTCTTCTGTCAGTCCAAAATCGGCTACTTTGATGATGCCGTTTTCATCAATCCTAAAATATCACATAATTATTATGCAACAAATCCTGCCAGGCTCGAGGAGCTGCCTGTCAGTGTGTAAGTTAGCTATACCACAACAGAAATCCACAACAATCCAATAGTGTAATATGCGTGCACTTTATAATTTTATCTGTTTACATGCAATTTCTGGCAGCCAAGTCACGATGAACAAACTTGAAGTTAGCAAGATAAGCCATGCCTTTGGATATCTGGTGGCATATTCCCAGGCAGGTGTTCCTGGCAGCTTCAACCTATACGGAGCATTTATATAATGGCTGACATGAGCATAGCTCTTTTCTTACTTGAATGTTGTCAGATGACTCGAGGAAATACAGACTCTTCCTGCTCTCTCTAACATAGCTCAGAACAGTACCATTAGACATGAATGGCATAATGATCAGGGGTGTATCTTCATCAAAGGAGAGTCCAATTAGTGGCATGACATTGGGGTGACTGAAAGTGAGCATGAGTGACACTTCCTTCAGTAACCTCTCCTTGTCAGTCACCGCAAGTAGAGCTGCATGACAGCAAAAGAAGTAAATCATTGTCATTAGAAGATTATTACCTTTTCCAGTCTTTATGGCAACCAGCACTTTGTTTGTATTCATAACGACATATCCTCTGTATACCAAACCTGACTCTCCTGTAATATTATTAGTAATCACTTATGCAGCTATGCAACAGTTGCAGGGCTCTATATATCATTTCTTACCTTGACCAACAACTTTGGTAAGTTCAAGTTGACTCTTTTGGAAAAGCATCTTCTTTGTGCTGAGCTCTTGCTTCAGTTGCTCTACTGGTGATCGGGATAACACTGATACTTCTGCATGACACAAAAAAACAAAGTCCAGCTGCTTGAAAATCCATTGTGCACTAACTTGAAAGACTAGGATACAGCTGTATATTGTTGGACCTGGTAGTTCTTGAATTGAGAGACCTACAGAAGAAATAGTTCATTATAACAAGGTCATGAATCAGAAAAAATAATACGTTAAAATTGGTAGAGTAGCAATGAAGTTGTGTGAAAATGTGATCACGTACTTCATTAAGCTGTTGGCATTGCTAAACACAGGTTGACACACAAATGATAAACCTCACATGCATGCAAGCAGATAATTTTGGGACTTGTATGATAGCTTCTACACCTTATAAATTTCCTACTTACGATGAACGTTTTGATTTCCTTAGCCTGTGTCTCACCACACAACCGACTGCTAAACACAACAGTATCAGAAGAACTGCAGCACTGGTGAATATGGCAGCCAGAACACCAACACTGGCGACACTCTCTTCTTCGCTGGAGACTAACACAATGAGAGGCACTGGAGGTTCAATTTTTATAGGTACACATATGTACACGAATGTGCTTTAGGTCTAACTATTTCCATGCATCGCTCAGTCTTAACCACCCAGCAAAAGCTCGCACATCAGGTTTTAGGAATGAAACTATTGCTACCCTCTTCCCATGCATTGCTGGGTCTCAACATCCCAGCAAAATCTTGCACATCAGTTTTGAGAATGAGACTCTAAGACATTGCTAATCTGACTCACCGCATAAAATGTTTTCTTCTGACCAGTTACCACTGGAAAGACAAGTTCGTGAGGTGTTATCATTGTGAAAGTGATAACCATCACTACACTCATAAGAAGCAATAGAGTTGGACATTGTGTTCATGGATAGGTTTGATATATTTCCATTCTCTAGTTCAGGAGAAGCACCACAGTCCACAACTGTACAAAAAATAATACCTTTACAAATGTACATGATACCATCACTACGCAAAACATGCTACATCATTAACCAGGCAGTGTGATTTCATTTGCACCATTCTTTAAGGCCCTGTCTCTAACTCAAATTCAGAAAAAGCATGTGTCATCACATCAATGAGGTCAAACAAAGCAAAGTATAAGAACACAACTACACCCAGGATGCTTACCGCATTCTACTTCATCAATGAAGACTGTAGCTTGAGACACAGCCACATTTATAACAGGAATGCCACTCTCGAGGATAATACGGGAGAAGAAAGACTTGTTGGTATTGTTGTCACACTCAAAATCATTGTCGATAACGATGGTGTGAGTTTGAGTAACATCACCCTCATCAAACTGTACAATCTCACCAATCACTGCCGTAAAATCACCGTCACTGGCAGCTGTGAATGAAAAACACTCCTAGGAATGTTGCACTATTGATTATTATAGAAACATACTTGCAGTGCCATCAACGGTACTGATGGCAAGAGCAAAAGGTCTTGGTGCCCCAGTGGATGGAGGACTGAAAACCTTGATAACAAGTGTAACTTCTGGCACACCTTTCCTTGCCTGGTACATAACTTGGTCGTAGCCGACATTAATTTCTCCTGAAACACAAGGTTAAATCATTGTATATAATCATACTTTGAGGTTGAATTTTGTACTTACCACACTCGTCTGCACTAGAGGCATCAATGAGGATGATAGTAGATTGAGGCACGAGCACATTGATATGCAGGGTGTCATTCTCTTGCGAAATATCAGAGAAAAAGAATCTAATTGGGTCGGGTTCACAGTTTTGTCTACTACTGGTTGTGATATCGAGGGTAACTGTTGTTTCCCCTCTACTGAAATGCACGATTTGATATGTCACTGGAACATAGTGACCAGCAGCAATTGCTGTGTGTAAGGAGCACATACATACATGCTATATAATACCTATTTCGACACTGAAGTATGTGTACATACAAGCTGTGCCGTCTCTAGTGTTGACCGTCACATTAAAAGGTCGTGGAGCTCCAGTGGACGGATGACTAAATACCCTAATTGTTTGGGTCACATGCCCATCACCTTCTCTACTGGTGTATACATCAGGATCATAGCCAACAGTTATTCGTCCTAAAGAGAAATAGTATGTGTATATTATATTAAAGGAAATGTGGAAGTATATATATTATATATATATAAGCAGAAACTGATACTGAAAATGGAACCTTAATTGCATTCTTGCACCGGGCCCTATTGTTTAGGTCTATCTTTAGTAACATGTCTATACTCTGCCCTTATGTACTGACACATTGCTCTACAGCACATCCACCTACCACATTCAAACTCATCACTATCTTCGATAGTAATATTGGCTTGAGGGACAGTCACTCGGATATCAGCTATGCCACTGGAAACAGCGATATTTGACAAAAACTGTTCATTTGTACCAATTTCGCATTCATCGTCATCTTCAATGAGAATAGTGTGAGTCTGAATAACGTCTCCTCTCATAAATATTATATGTTCACTCATATTTACATAGTCAACACCAGCATCTGCACATTAATTGATAATGCAAATTTAACTACATTAATTCTGTGTGTATATTGTTGCAGGAAACATACTTGCAGTGCCATCTTCAAGATCAAATGACAGAGTGAAAGGTCGTGGAGCTCCACTGATTGGGTGGCTGAAGACTTTAATAGTTAAATTCAGTGTTCTATTGCCTTCACTCACCGTGTACACTGGTGGATCATAGCCAACAAATATTGGCTCTGAACACATAGTATAACATGCACACTAATAAAAGCTGCAATTACAAAAAGGTCAGAGCTTACCACACTCAAGGTCATCATAATCATCAATAGTGACCTTTGTTTGTGGTACGGTCACACTGATAGATGGAATACCACTGTCCAGTGTAATATGTGAGTAAAAGTATTCATTCGGACCAACTTCACAGGCATCATCGTCGTTGACGGTGATAGTGTGATTCTGAATAATGTCTCCACTCATGAACCGCACAATCTGATCGCTTACATTTGCATAGTCACCACCACCAACTGAAAATGAAGTGTAATGTTAACGACTAAATTTCCTGTAAATAAAACATACTTGCAGTGCCATCCATAGTTCTGACAGCAAGACTGAAAGGTCGTGGTGCTCCAGTCGAAGGATGACTAAAGACTCTAATTATGAGAACGATACTTCTACTTTTCTCTGTTACAAAGATTGTGTCAGCATTGTAACCCACTTCAATTGGCCCTGTATTAGATTGTAGACATGTCACTGAACAAAATCTTCATCAAATTGTACTTACCACACTCGGGTTCATCTCTGTCACTAATTACTATGTCTGTACTGTTTCGTGTAATAATTATGGGCATTTCTCCACTACTGTATTCCACGGTGGAGAAAAAGTCCTCAATGTGATCAGCCTCGCACTCATCATCTTGAAATATTCTGACAGTTTGGCAGGCACGAGTGTCTCCTACTGCAAACCTTAGTAGCACATTCGCTACTCTTCTATAGTCATTGCCTGATTCTGAAAGGGAAAAAAACGACAACTATATATGTCTAAGGTATTGCAACGCAAGTTACTTGCTGTTCCATCCCTGGTAGTGGCAGTGAGAGTGAATGGTCTTGGAGAACCATTTTCATGGTTCATAACAACAGTACAGAGAGCAATTTCTCTGTCATTCTCAGTTGTAGTGTAGGCCGAGAGCCCGTAGCCAACTTCAATTGGAACTAAAAATTAATAATAATTATAATTATAATGATTCAGTAAATTGTTATATCGGAGAGTGTCTGCCTGTTGTCAAGCCATATCTGACATGTGTATTATTATCACTTAAAAGTACATACTGAGTGTGCAAGAAAACTTACTACATTCTGCTTCTTGTGAGTCATCAATTATGATCATTGCTTGAGGCTGAGTGACATGTATAAACGTCGCTGTACCACGGGAAATGCTGGAGAAGAAAGTCTCTGTTGTGTTCTCACAGACAGTGTCATCGTTTATTGTGATAGTGTGGGTCTGAAACATTTCTCCCACACTGAATTGAACAATCTCATTGCTCACGGCACTATAGTCTACATCAGAAGAACCTAAATATTTACACATGAATTTATACAAAGTAGTAAAATACTAACTTGCAGTGCCATTATAGGTGTTGACTATTATTGTGAAAGGTTGTGGAGCTCCTCCTGGTGGTTTAAGGAGTTGAATCCGCAGCTCAACCATTCCACGACTTTCGCTCGTTTTGTAGAGGGTTGAGTTGTAGCCAAGTGTGATGTTCACTGCAGTTGGAGTTATAGGACTATGTGTCAACCACTGGTCAAACTTGATTAGCCAACTCACCATCCCCACCATATATAAGTACTCTTCCGCTAGCTGGATCTACTTCAATCCTAGTGTGAAGATTTGAAGTCCTTGTTAAGTTAAATGTGAAGAACTCATCTGATTCATCCACACCATCATCTATTATGCTGACATTCACACATTTTCTAGTCTCACAGGTATCAAATGTCAGCAGAACATCAAGTGCTTCATAGTCTGCAGTTTGTACTGTGGAACAGAGTATTATTTTGCAAGCCCAGGCATATATAAGAGTTTTACCTGCAGTTCCATCTGCTGTTGATAGTCCAATATCAAACGGAAATTCCACCGGGCAATTAATTGATGGGAATGTAATTTTGGCACATAGTTCAACAACACCCACACTCTCTATCACATTGAAGTACGTCTGCTCAAGACCAACTACAGCATCTGTAACGGAAGAAAGTTGTTATGTTTAACAGTGTACACTATTCATTTCCTAGGCTAAGAATAGTACAGTCACGTACTGTCATTGTCTAAGATAACAATTGAAGCCTGGCTATGTGCTGGATCCACCATTTTAGGTACAGCAGGGTTCTCATCGCGCCCAAGCCCTAGTTGGAGGCCGATATACTCATCCAGTTCGACAGAAATATCATCATAGAGTTCCTGGCCATAGCAGACAATCCTCATCAGTTCGTCAATAGTGAGATTGACAGACGGAATTTGCTGGGCATAGTCAGAACCTTCTCTCATTGGGTACAGACTGAGAAAATCAGGTGGATCTGGAGCTGGAGACATTAGAAAGATATGTAGTCAAAGCTGGTGGAGACAGAAACAAAGTTATCACTCTGTAGCTAACTGCGCACACCTCCCATGAGCTTTAGAAACTTTTAGTGAAAAGTCAGGATTTAGTGTAATTCTGTGAAACGAATGAAATTTGGGACTTACAAATGTGGCCAGTAGTGTGTTATGGCTCTGTATAGGACACCAATCAGACACAGAAATTTATAACATACTGGCAAGTGGAGCACCAGCTGGGATGTAGACTGAACTGGAGTTATCAATGACAAACACGTTGACAGTCTCATCAAGAATGTCAACTTCTGGTCGAGTGAGATTGACACAGACATTCACTGCACCCACATTCTCATAAACAGTGTACACTGTCTCCACAAACGCCACAACAAATGGCTCTACAGCAAACATAATAAAGACCAAGCCCATAATTTAGGTAAGTAGCTAGACCCTATAGGTTTACACTTACCATCATCATCTTGAATGCAGATGGTGTGATTACAGAAAAAGCTTACAGCATCTGCATCATCATCATCATTACATAAAAATGATCCTTGAAAATCAATGGGGAAAATGCGTATTGTGAAGCATTCCTCTTCCTCGGGAATAAAATCATTGTTTATTGAGGAAGTAAGTGGTGGAAATATTGCGTTCCGTCCTTCTCTCAAATCTCTCAACTCCATTGTAGGAGAACCGGTACCAAAAGCTGCATCAAAGTCAGCCCGTGAAATTGCGGTGGAAGGTTCAACTATAGCTGTACTGTTTTGTTCGAGAATAAACATCATTCTGTACTCTCTTTCAGTTGTTCTTGAAACAGCTATATCTATACCAATGCTGAAGATATCCACTCCTCCAGAAGAACCTTCTGATACTGTTTGTGATCTCTGAGTAAATCCAATAAACAGTGCTATAAAATGAAACAAATACTGGTAGCTCAGGTCTTAAAAATGGCGGCAAATTAGACTTACGATCATCAACAATATTTCGTTTTATTAAGCTAGTCCCGTGGTTGGTTTTTACTTCTTCATTGTGGGTATCTGTCAGTGAGAGAAACCACAGTTTTAGGGACAATGCAGATTACACAATCTCATGCTATATAATAATATATATATACCTGTTTCATGACCACGTTCTGTTGTATCACTGCCACTGTAACATTGAGAAAACCTTCCAGCAGCCAGTAAGAGGGCCACAAGTAGAGTAGCAGTCATTTTGTTCACAGCCATTCTGACACAGGTGTAGCTACTACAGAGTCCTCTAGGCCAGCGTTCTCTGATTGCCTGATTGTGAGCCCAGTCACACAGAAGTTGTGTATAACTACAACGGCATTGCTACGCAAGTTCATAGAGGAACATTGTGGGTAGATTAATAATGTCATTATGTATTAGTTAACTTATAGGCGGCGAGGCAGTACAGGAAGTACTCCGAGGCTGTTGACTATATATGGACGAGGGAATGTAAAGGAAGTTCAAGAGAAAGTTCATGGAGGAACATGGATTAATGCCATTTAGTTAACTTATAGGTGGCGAGACGGTACAGGATATACTCTAGGCTGTTGACTATACCGGATGAGGGAAGGTGGGCGTATAATATTGAAGAAGGAAGTTCAGGAGGAAGTTCGGTGGAGAAACATTGTGGGATGGATTAAATGAGGTAATGTCATTATAAGCATGTCACACTTGAGGTCACAGTCGTATATATATATCACTAGTTTAAAAGTCCATCGTCTGTGGGCAAATAATTATTCCATTTTATCCTCTTGTTGATGGTTCCACACTTGGCTGCTGTGTGTTTTACTAAAGCAACTGACAAGGTTAGCATGAACCTTGACACACAACACATAAACCACCAACAGGTTAATTTCCTGCTTGTACAGAAGTTCACAAAGGTCATCACCGGCCACAATCCATACATCATGCTTATGTATTATATGAAAAGCTGATCATCAATGTCTTGGGTCGGAGTCCAACAGAACATGAAGGTAGTTGTTGGCATGAGCCGGCATCAAGATTTTTTGTGAGGGGTGGTACTCTCCTTGTAGATGTCTTGCTCTCCTCTATATATAAAAGTCCTCATTCATGCCAAGAGCTGACAGTTGAACAAGGCGTCCATCCCGGTCTGCTGCAACACTGGTGAAGTCGTCTACAGCAGCTGTAGTTTCTATAGGATCTTCGGCAGCAACCTCTTGCCCCAGAGAGAGAGGGAGGGAGGGAGGGAGGGAGGTAGGGAGGGAGGGAGGGAGGCAGGGAGGGAGGGAGGGAGGGAGGTAGGGAGGGAGGGAGGGAGGGAGGGAGAGAGAGAAAGAGAGAGATGGTCGTGAAACCACAGTCCGCAACTCCCCATACACTCGCCTAACTAAACGACAGTCCGCTTTATTGCCCACCCTCTGGTCAGTGCGCAACTTCTCATCTCCCCATAGACTCGCTTCACTTCTTCCATCTGACCTGGCTGATTATGGATCGAAAACTCTGAGCGCCCAAAAGGGAGATTGTCATGTCATTAAAAGTCTCCACTGCCTGCCTCAACCATCTGACGCCAGTCAGATCTTCATCACCCACCCAATGGGGTACTCTCCTTTAGTGGAGGTTACAAAGAAGTTACTACGAAGTCATAACAATCCTATATTATACGCATGCGCATAAGTTTGTTCTCCACTGCGCATGCGTTGATTGGCCACATGGGAAGATGGCGTACATTTTTTACGTGTACGCCTGCTAGTGAGAGTGGCCTGGCCTAGCCCCCCGTATCTCCTCTCCTCTCATACTAGTCTTCTTGTCCCAGTGGACACGTCTTCTCCGAGAAGTTTAAGGTAAGAGGGGGGCAGTTTTTATCGGGAGGCGTCGTGATTTATCATCACACAGTGTGTCGTCTTGACTGTTGTTAGTTGTGACTACATCATGCCTGGGACGTTTGTGTACGTCTGTACCTCGCAGGTTACACAAGTACATGTTAGCCTTGTTAAAAAGCAAGGGATCCACCACCGCGATTGCGTGTCTGTCAAGGTGTGGTTTTCTGAGCTAAACACCCGCACACGGTACATCGGTTCTCGATTCGTGTTGGTGTACAAGCGTGTGTCATACGGTTAGCTATCATCTGCTGCTTGTGAAACCCGCTACTGTTGTGCGAGAACGCGCCGCGGGCGTGTGTGTAGGCGGCCTCTCCTTTGTGGTATGGTGTGCATCATTTGGAGATACTTCTTCTCATAGACAATTAGGGTGTTCGGGAATTACATGAAGGCTGTCTCGATTGAAGGCAAGTTACGCCCCATTATATGCTGATACGTGTATCTGTTGGGATGTTGGATCAGGTCTAAGTTTTGTGTCATTGCTGTTTTGATTGTGTGAAGACTAAGCTTATGCAAAGCAATATAGTATGAGGTTGTTCGTAGATAGCTGGTCATTCATGGCTTTTTTTGAATATGTTCTGTGTTTTACGCTTTATAAAAAAGATTTGGGCTTCATATCAAAGGCTTTAGCCCTCAGAAACCAGAAGAGGCTCTGGTCTGCATAGAGCCTTGTTTCAACTAGGAGGTAGAATGGCAAAGGCTCAACAAACAAGTCAACTACGCCCAGGACAGCCCTTTTTTACCAAGGAAAATAGAATAGCTGCCCTAGGTGGGATTCGAACCCATGGCACTCTACAGTCTAGGCTGTACAGTACAGTACACCTACATATTATTGTGGAATGTTTATTATCATAGGAAAATGCAGGTTTGAGCTTGCATACAAAGAGATACTGTACTGCACACCAACTTATGAGTGAATGGGATTCCCATGCTGACTTGGCACATTCCAGTCCATGGCCTTGCATTAGCAGGGAATTTGTGACTTCCAGCAGTGATTGTTTGTTTGTGGGTACAGGGCAAGTCATCCTTTACCAAGAGGATGCCCCTGTACAAGCTGCTTTATTTTGTAAATGACCTTCCCTCTTCCCTAAGTGGAGACACCCATGTACATACTGTATGTGGTACATATATAGATTGTGCTTAACGGATTACACGCTGTTGTCGGCTACACGCCAAGGTGAATATTCTCCCGTCCCAATTAAATCATCAAAACACACCCTTGTTCAACTTTGGCTCTATCCAGACCCCACCCCCCCTGTAACCAAACATTCCTCGAACTTATATATATATCAGTTGTTATAAAACCGAATCTTAGTCTGACACATTTGCCTGATGATTTTGTCCCAGACACCACAGCCCAGCTCCATGGATTCCTCGTACCCTGACCCTGGCCACATCGGCAGGGCCTTTGTGAAGCAGTACTACACTCAGCTGCACCACGACCCGTCACAGATGCACCGCTTCTACCTGGAGCAGTCGTCCATGGTGCACGGGGGGTCAGAGGTCGGCAGTGCCCAGAGAGTCATTGGACAGAAGGTGAGGGAGCCCCTACTTATTAACCCTCGGCGTGCATGCTCAGCGATGGATTCTGTACTGTGTCTGTCTGTCTGTCTGTCTGTCTGTGAGTGATATCAACAGCTTCGGAACTATACGACAACCTTAAGGAAAAAATGGCGGTTTTCCTGAAGCACTGTGTTCGAGAGATATGCCGTGAAAACAAGCGAAAAAGCCAATATGCATAATGACAGTGGCTTATGTACTTCGACATGATCGAGGGGCGTCTATCGACTCCCTCAGTGTTACTAGTCCTTGTCAGACTCTGCGAGCTACTACTAGCGAGAGACCACGAGTATAAAATAACCATGGGCAAGCCCATCAATTAGCGGTATATACCACACATGCGCAGTGTGCCGAGGGTTTGCACTTAAGTGCTTTTTACTTCTACGTTTAATGTGGCAAGTTTCACATGTGCGAAAGCGCGCAGCGGCGACCCCGCCTGCTTTTGTGTGACATAGCCGGGCCGGCAGCCGACAAGCGTCTCTCTTTCACTCTGTTAGCTTGCCTGCAATTATGGGTGCTGAGTCTCGAGCTACAGTTTCTATGCAGAGCTGGTTGACGTCTTTCCGAACTGTCTGTGTTGTAGCCACGTTTCTGCGCATGATAACGATAGAATGTGCCTCGGGGAGGATTTAATGATGGGTTGGGCCATGGAACTCGGTCCGCGACCGTGCCAGTTTGCCGCTCTCGAACGCAGTCGTTTCAGGAAAATCGCCTAATACTTTTTCGGGTTCGCGTAGTGCCAGAATAAGCGTCGACAACAATCCCCCCGCCCCTCATACTCTACTATACAACTAGCATAGCGCCGTTCCGCCCATTCGCTTTCGTCATCACTCTTCTTAGTCTCACGAGGTTTAATCTAAGTATTGGATAGTAGATCCTATTTAGCAGCGCATGGAATGAAATGTGTCGTATGGTCCGTCTGGCCTCTTCAAGCTGAACCACTGCCCGCGCATTCAGGACCGGCTTAATCGTAGAGAACGCGATTCTTGAGTCATGACGCTTGTGCAAAGGCAAGTCCACAGGCTTAGTCTGGCAATGTACGTCAGCAGAGGACGAGTGTATCTCTATCATGGTTGGGGGGAGACGGTATCATGGCGGTCTACCATTTTCTCTCATGTCGTCAGGTACATACTACAACAACTGACGTCAGTGGGGAGAGTTCGGATTCGTACATCAGGTCAGTAACGTATTCAACTTGTACTATGCCTATGTAATGTTCTATTCTAGTAGCGATGTTATCATACCTATTGGTTTACTATCTTATCTCTGTTAGCCCATCAGTACGTCGTTCGCATAGTCTATCAACAATCCGCATGGCTATGGCGTATGTTGAGAACATAGTGCAAGATTTCTGTGTCCTACCTGGCCCAGAACTTCATGTCAGATTCTCTACGAACACCCCTCAAGGAGCTTAGGGGGCTCTTTCTTATTCAAAGCAACAGAAGAAGAGTGCTCTGGGTTAGCAGATTGCGAACCCACATGACACTACTCTCGTCAATCTAATGGCTGGCAATCTTAGGCTGATGCGCCTCTATCATTACAACTCGTAGCTTCACCATTTGGCATAGACTCATGCTGGTAGGTCGTTTCGGTATGCTACAACACGACACAAAGGCAAACCATCAACTACTGGCTATCACGGCCGTAGGTATGCTTACCATGTTAGAACTCCTGTTCTGTCTGCTTTCTCGTCAACTCGGTGCGGAGACTACTTTGAAGCCTGTCTAGGTCATCATGATTATGATGCCGTACGGCCGGTCTTTTGCTACTTGTCATGCTTTCTTCTAGTGCTGCACATTGATATCTTATGCGCGGCCTGCCGCATAGGCGGAATCAGCTTATCTCTGATCATCTACGGCCAACAAAGTGCCTTGTATGATGTGCTGTATTGAGCATTAGCCAAATCACTACTCCTAGTTATCTGTGTGTTTCATGGGCCTGTCATTTGATCCTAGCCGGACACACCTACTAGCCTACATAACTTTAATGCCTGTATAAATGTCGTGATACGAACCATCTTGGAGTGACGAATGTATGGTGTTCCAGTGACACAGCACCTCTTCTCTGAGACATTAACAGTCTGTTCAATGTACACATACATACTGTATGCAGGTGACGGGAGAGCTGTCGACGGCAGGCAAGCCAATGAGAGCATTTGTGCAGACATTTGTCCTGGCTCCAGACAGCCTGCCTGCAAGAAATACTACTGTCCGTACACGCTACTTCAGCTATTCCCCTCCGCTGCATAGGCAGGACTTTGACGACATTGTCGGCGAGGGAGATCCCAACGATACCTCGGGTGAGTTCCAGTTCCTCCAAGAGTGTGCTACTATGGGAGGTACATATATGTGTGTGTAAACCAAGCTCTAAGATCTTGGGATGTGGGTTGTGCATTTGTACCCCTGGTGTTTGCCACTCTCACCATATTATCATGGTAACATGAGAGGCTTGACATGACAAGCAGTCTATGTTCATGTCAGCTGATAATGGAGTATAAGTTTTAAATTTCATGGGGGATGCGCCGCCGGTACACAGAGGTGGGAGGGCAAACATGGAGTGCTACCGTTGATACGACACAACTCACATAAGGTTAGGCGCGTCGGCATCTCGATCCTGCGCCGGTGAACTGTTCTACAGTTGCGACATCACCTGCCACTTTCTTATACTGTATATTAGCAATCAGGGCTCGTTCCCGCTGAGAAGGAACTCCTGTTTAAGATACTTCTCAAACATCCACCACGAGTCCTCCTCACTTACTATTGGGCCAAATAACACAAGAAACAAATAAAATTGAGAAACTGCCGTTCCATCCATCTAACTATGCAAGATCATATACATGTCTATATTACAGAAGAACACAACTAGGATGCTCGCGTAACATCTGCTTGTAGAACATGGTTTTGTATTCATTTTACGGCTGATCGGCTTATATTATGGTGCTTGCTATGGCTATCTGCTTATCTCGGCCTGTCAGTAGCTTTAGTGAGCTGCGTCGAGTACGACTTGTATGGGGTTGACGCTAGTAGTTTCATCTTCGCAAGCGTGTCACCATGCCTTCTAGCACATCTTACACTCACACACCGTGAGTTGCCTATTTTCCCGGTTGCAGTCACTCTCATTCTATCCAGCTTGGCTATCTTGGTAAGCAGCTGTGCATTATAAAGTCTTTTTCGGCGCAAGTCCGGTCGGACTCTAATTAAGCATGTTACGTCCCTTTGCTCACCCGCCTGAACTGTCTGTCAATATCCCTCTTCTATCAGTTCCGATGTGCACCTCAGCTAGTCTCACGAATCCACATATACGATTGTATTCCGTTCGATGCTTTTCTTCTAGTGTTTTTTGCACACACGGTGCTGCACGTCATGCTCCAATGTTCTCTCTACATCTTCTTCCTTCTCTCAACTCATACCGTTCTCTCTCCTTCCCCTCCCCCTCTTTCTTACTGTCCTTCTCCTCTTTTTCTCCCTTTTCTCTACCCCTTCTTTCTCCTCAGTCCTTACACGGCATTTGCTTGTATTCTATATATTTCTGGGGTCAAAACTGCCGCAGGCCGCCAGCGGCGGCGCGCCTGCTGCTCGTATCCTTTTTCTTCTAAGTCTACTTACCTACACTCTTCTTTGATGGACATCATCGAGCTTAATAAAGGAGGACGTTTCTGCTGCTTACGGCGAGTCCATGGGGCCGGCTATGGCGGTCTGTGCTTTTGTAGTTGACAAGGACTGCATTAGTGCGGTAGGTGAAATCATGCACGAATCGCCGTCCATGGCCTGGACAGGTTTCGGGCCCTTGTATTAATGTGGTTGTGCTTCTGGTGGTATGTATGCGGCATAGTAACACTATTCCTTTTCTTCTCTTCTCTGACCGTCTCTGTGGTATAGTGTTACTGGCTTCTTTCGTACCATTTTGACCGTCCTTACTTTGCCGCTGAAGTAGGCACTAAGTCCTATGATCATGGAAAGCGAATACCTCTATTGTCGCGGCGAGCTGCAGCGAGTGCATTCTACTACAGAGAAGGTAAGCATACTTTATCATCTTCTAGAGCAATATCGTATATCGGAATGTGTGTGTAGATTGTC